ATAAAATTAATTATCTAAAATAGGAAAAAGAATCTGAGGGACAAGACTTCTGAGTAATATGATTTAACTTGCAAAACTAGCATTTTGCATATCAAACCAGGTCATCTGATTCCTCAGATGTCACTAGCAAGTGATTTATAGAGCTTATTTTTATAACAGAAAAGAAGCATGCAATTTACAGGAATAGGGAAGTAGAACAAGGACAGGAAAGCAGGCCAATTTGCAATGATTGGCTGCCGGGCATAAGGGGGCATTTCAAGGGCAGGACAACTATTAAATCTGATATTCTACTGGATTAGGGCCCATGTCTATCAACCTAAATGAGATTGCTTCAGGAATCTCTGCCCTGCAGCTATACCTTTTTGCATTAAAAACAAAACAAAACAAAACTTACTTTTCAGCTACTAAAATGTGAAATCTACTTCTGGGAGTTCAAGTAAAGAGGAACTTAGACTGGGAAAGAGGGACTTGTAGTTTGTAGTGGGTAGTCAGCAGTCACTCCCCGCCCCCCTCCCCTCATCCTCCAGCTACCAGAAAGCAAAACCCAAGTTTAGAAGATTACATTGCTCAACTTACACTTAACCTCTAGCTCAAGAAAAAAGGGGAACTTATTCACTAAGACTAGAAAGAAGAACTTAACCTTTGGTCAACCCCCTTTCTCCAGCTTCCAGAAAAGGAGAACTTAGCCTTTAAAAAAGTCTTATAATCCTATGATTATTTTATTCCTACAAAGATATGTCTTACTCTAAATTATTTGCTATTAAATGAAAAGTTTATCAATCCATCTATTCTCTAAATCTATAGGTATTAATCAGGCAAAAGGAATGTCTATGTTGGCTTAGCTTAGGTGTTAGGGCTAGCTTTTCCTAAAGAAGGGAACTTAATCTTTCAAACAAACTAAAAATAAATCAAAGTAATCAATACTGATTTAAAGGTTATTCTTTTCCACATGGAACACATAACATAAGTCTGGAAAACAAAGTTGAAGTCAGGTTGTGGAGAATTTTAAAAGACATGCTGAGGAGTTTGTATTTCATTCCAGAGGTAATACTGAATCTGTGGATAAGAATAATAACACGGTCAGAACTAAGACCTAGAAACTGACTATTTTCGCAGTTTCATGAAGGAAAGATTAGAGAAGGGACAGACTAAAGGGAGACTACTTAGAAAATGGTTACTATAGCCCAACTGGGACTGATGAAGGCCTAGAGTGCTTCCCAGGTGAGTGTAGGGAATGGAGCTGCTGTGAGGGGTGCAGTAGAAATAGAATCATGAGATTTTATCAAATGATCTGATATGAGGGGTAAAGGAGGAAAAAAAAAAGAGTCAAGGATAACTGAAGTTATGAGCCACTGTAACTGGGAAGAAGGAGGATGGTGGTGCTCTCAGAAAGTTTAGAGGAGAGGCTGGCTGTGCAGAAAAGATGAGTGGTTTGGGGCATGGCAAGTTTTGAAATGCCACTAGGACATCCATATGTAGATGTTCGGAGAGCAGTTGATGGTAGATTATAGAATTGAAGAGTTAAAGCTACAGATAAACAGTAGTGGGCCACTTGCATAGAGATGATAATTGAGGCCATGGATGTGGCATGAGAATAGTAGAGTATGGTTTTTCTCCTAAGCTTCTCCTGCCCAAACCCCACCTTACACTCGGAGACAAATGGGGAGGGCCTCTGTGTGTAAAGGAGTAGAGAACATGGGGTCATTCAGCCTAGAGAGTAGGACTGCTTGAGCTTCCTCAGAGGTCAAAGAGTGGGTTCACACCATATCCGAGATGATTTTCATGAGCTACAACAGCCGAGAAATTAACCACCTGACTGCATTTCCTTATGTTGGTCCTCAAAAGCTTGTTCGTCCATACTACAGCATGTACACCCCTGGTATAACCTTGAGAATGAGCATTAGAGGGAGCATCTGGAGTCAAAATCAACCAATGGGCATTTCATTAAATGCTCACTATATGTAAGGCACTGTTGCAAGGCGTCGGGGAGATGAAGGGCAGAAAAAAGAGGAAACAGTCCATGATCTTAAGGTATTTACATTGTATTGGGTTTGCTACTTACTACGTTTGTGATTTTGGCCAAGTCAGTCAACCTCTTCGAGGCTTGGTTTGCTCATCTATAAAGTGCAGAGGTGGAGATGAGCCAAACATAAGGGCTCCTTCAGCTCAAATCTAGGATTTTATACTGCGGAGAAGGTCCTGATCCAGTCAAGGACTGGACTAGGTGGTTCAGGAGGTTCCTTCCAAGTCAAGATGTTGGGATACATCAGAATTCAGTGTCACTTCCACCCCTTACTTAATTCTTCCCTTGACTCCCTATAACTTTTCCATCTTTATTATGGGAACTCACCCAATTCCTCTTAGCCTCGGTCATTCTAAAGGAAAAAAAGCCAAGAGCAGATTTTAAGACAAACGTTTACTGAAATATTTGTAGAACTTAAATGCAAAAGCTCTTCATGCATATGTGATAATTTATATTGCCAAAAAGACAGTTTCTCTGAAAGGCTTATCCTTAGGAGCACATAAGTGTCAAGTGAACTATAAACACCCTGTCAGGTTCCTATTGATAACTTACTATTTGTTAAGGTGATCAACTAGACATCCCAGACTAAGCAGGACAGTCCTATATTTAGACCTCTTGTCTTGTACATTAACATACTCCAGAACTGGTTGGGGATACTCATACTTGGTCACCATTGGAACTGCTAGTAGGCTTAGTGTGCAGCCATGTGCGTCCCACTCAGAAGTGCCAACTCAGAATTGAGAGAAGGAAACTACAATCAATTTTGGCCTTTTGGGGCACAATAGTAAATAAGTGAGACTGTAAGGCTGTCAGTTCTGTTTTGTTTTTTTCTGGCTGGTCTGAAAAGTGAAGGGTTAAAGTTCACTGGATAGACATGAAATCTCCTAAGCTGAAGGACAGGCTAGACAGGGCGGGCTTATGCACTAATGGTCATTGCCAATCACTCTGCTAAGTACTTCAGAAATACTATCTCATTTTACCCTCCCAACAACCCTTGGACGTAGGTGCTATTATTATCTCCATCTTACACTTGAGAAAACTGAAATAGGCAGAGGTTAAATGATTTACCCAGGGTCACATGGCTAGTAAGTGTATGAGACTAGGTTTGAACTCAGGTCTCTCTGACTTAAGGTCCAACACTCTATCTGCTGTCACCCAGCTGTCTCTTTTCTTTTTCTTTTTTGCCTTGCTTTTTTATAACTCACATTAAGCTCACACAACCTACACCCTTGACTCTTTTTAAAAACATATTAAGCAGATTTTATTTTTAAAAGCCCTTTATTCTTTTCCATTTCAAAAGTGGCAATCATGATTGAGAAATTTTACACTATAAATGGCAAGTCAAAATAAAATTAGCAAGGACAAACTTCTGAATGCAAACAAGGAGAAATCAAATATATAGAAAAAAGTTCTGATTGTTCAAATGATCAGAGTACAAAATCAGTAGTCAAATTCCTTATTTTCTAAGAGTTCAAAGAACTACTGTCCATAACAGTTTAAAGGCATATACTACAATCATAAAAAACTGAGTCTGCAAATGATGAAAGGCACACAGATTTTAGCATTTGTATCTCAGATGTACTTGTTCACAAGTTTACATCAAAGCAGGGCCTTCCTTTGGGATTGTTTCACAATATAGCATCTCTGATCAATACATGGTCATTGAAATAACGAACCACCTTCAGAGCGCGTCAATCCGCCTACCTTAAAGCAAAGCTGTATCACTTTAAAATAGGCAAGCCATGGCATAAAATACACCAAAACACTGGCAAAATTAGCCAAGAGAGATAATCTTGTAAAAGCTCTTGTGCTACTTTAAATTTAATGTGTTAGATAACTGAATATTTTATTATTCTCTGTTAACAGAGAGTAACAATACAGAATTTCAAGTATTTTATTAATGCAAATGTTATAGCTATATATGTAACTATGCTTTTATGTATACATATACAATATGAAAAAACACCTGAAACCTCAATGGAACTCAATAAACATCATTTTTGCATCCTTCAAAAACATTAGTAAGAATTAAGATGTGCTCCAACATAACTTAGTAAATGTAAACATTTTTATATTAACAGCAAAGTCTGAAAACTCAGTTCAGTTGTTAGTTGCAAGTTTATTTTAGATTTAACAATTTTAAAGTGCGCATGAAATTCTCAAGTGTTTTCATAACAGATTACTCCACTCAAGATACTGCAGTGATTTCTGTTTTGTTTTCTGATCCAAAAATAGTCCCCAGACAAAGTCTATTAAAGACTGCTACTCTTCGTACCTTTTATAGCCCATCTGCAATATTAATGCTAACGAGAAAGGTTTCCAGTCTAGTAAGGATTACCATGATTAACATTAGAAACACATTTAAATGAAGTTTTCTAATAATATCCATTGTCTATAGTTCAAAAGACTATCAACATGGAATTATTATAAGTGTCTATATATACACATTTAGAGCATGTACTTTTTACATTTCATTGAAAATAATTTGACATGTTAACTTCATCTCATGTCCTTAACACAGTAATGATAATTATCAGTTCATGCAAGATAAGAAAGATTTGATTTTTTAGGTAACAAGATTTTCTGATTTCTATTTGCTTTACAATATGGCATTTTCAGTTTATGTTGTACAAGAATCTAGATTATAGTAACCAAGGTGAAGACTGCAGGATCACATTTCAGAGTGCAATGGAAAACTTAAAAACAATTTCCAGCTAATTTGAAGATTAGAAACACTAATGATCTGTCCACAATTAGCTAAACCTACTTAATTTTATACTTCTACACTTCTCAGAAGACCCAATTGGGCCTGGTCATGAAAAAAAAAGGAAATCATTTACTCTGGAAACCTTGGCTTATTGCATTTTCTTACATTACTGAATGCTGGCTGGGCTTCCTTTCTCACTTAGTTTTTAGTGGTTCGTTTCTTAAGCATTTCAATGTTTGGTAGCTTGTTATCTTTTATGCTTGTTGCAAGAAGAAATTCTTCCCAGAATGCCAAAAAAAAAAAAAATATGAACAACTCAGTTTTCTGAAGATGTCTTCTATACAAAGGAGGAAAAACTAAAGGAATCTCTTTACAGGAGCTGCAGGTGCAGGACGAGTAGGAATAAAGTTTCCCTGAGATGATACTTTTGGTTGGGGTGGAGGTGGCCTGTGGAAAGAAGGGATAAGTAATCATTTATCCACATCTGGAGCACTATAAAATGGAAATAAAACAAGGTATTACATAACTAGAATCTCCATATAAATACTAATCTATGGGGTCTTTGCCAAGAAATTGCTTCATAGATGTGACCATTTCAAAAGAATTTGAGAAGGCTGTTTTGTCAACCACAATCCTTTAAATGGGGTCCAAGCAAGGGTGTGCTGGTAAATGTTTAATAATCAGCTCTCAGAGATGGGGGTGGGGGTGGGTGTGGAGGAAGAGAAGTACACACATCATCCTTCTAAGTTTAGTCTGCATTATTCACATTTTCTCTATCACTTTCTTAAGTTTAGGCAATCAACAAACAAAATAATAAACCAAGTCCTGTTTTGTAACATTTGCCAATTTCTAGGGCGTAAAAACTTACACTAAAAATTTAACTGTCAGCTCTTGAGAGCCAATTCAAGCTGGTTTCAGCATACCCCTGGGTCCACTAATCCACTCCACACTAGCCACTACGGCTATTTTTACTGAAAACAGAAGGCAAAATTAAAAAGCAAAAGTATGTAAATAGCAAAAGGAATGACAAAAATCAATTAGGCAAAATCTTTTCGATGGTAGAATTTAAAAATTTCATGTTGCTATGAGGAATAATGTTTCTACACATTTTAATAATATCATGAGAGTAAATACAACAATGTATACAATACCTGAAAACAAAAAGCTACTGTACAAATGTGAAGTGAGATGATTATATAATAACCTGTGACACATTTCTATGGATGAAATTTAGCTGAAAAACTTAAAAATACAATTTCCAGCCTTGAAATAAGACTGTGGATGAGTTTCAGACTTAGTTACTAATTTAGGTACAATCATCTAATGTTCTTCATACCACTCCATAGACTCATATATTCACAAAGTGTGCCATCTTATCCTATATATCCTGGCTGCCATAACTACCCATTTTCCTACTATCTCCCTACCATATTTAGCCTCTTTGTCTTATTCTCAATGTCTAGTATGAGATGTAATGGCCATTAGATGTGGCAATTAAAAATCTTTTTTTTTCTTTTTTGCTTAACCATACATAAATATTTCTAACATTGGTCTTTTTCTTTCATTCTCAATGGGGGTGGAGCGGAAGGAGAAGGAAGACTGTTGGTGATTTTTAAAAAATTAATTTAAAAAAAAAGAAAAGATAAAATATTTCCACCCCTACCCTTTTGCAGATATGGGAGGACTACATGTGTGGTACACTGCACATATTGTCAGATTTCTTTAATGCACTGGTTAGTTATGCCAATTCTTATCCTCTTCTTGTTTTAAAATAGTATAATTATATCATATAGAAAATTATATATTATTATATAACATGATAATATTAATATCCTAGTAATACATATTACTACATGAATTCTACATTAATTATATGAGACGGCTCTCAGAGGGGACAGGTAGGATACTGGGAAGCTATAGTTTAAAAAAAAATACATCAATAAGAAACATTTTTAAAAAAAGATCACTGATAACTTTGGAGAGAGCAGTTTCACTTAATTATGAAGTCAGAAGCCAGAGTACAGAGGGTTTAATAGAGAATAAGAGAAGAGAAAGTGGAAGTATGGATTGTATACAGCTTTCCCAAAGAGTTTAGTCAAAGAGAAAGATAGAAAGCAAGAGGAGATGATAACTAGCAGAGATAGTCCATCAGATGAGGGTTTTCAAGGAAGGGAGAGATATAGAAACTATTTTTTCTTTGTGATGAGCTAACTGGAGAGGGCAGCTAGGTGGCACAGTGGATAGAGCACTGGGCTTGAAATCAGGAAGGTTCATGTTCCTGAGTTCAGATCAGGTCTCAGATACTTCCTAGCCATGTCACTTAACCCAGTTTGATTTGGTTTCCTCATCTGTAAAATGAGCTGGTGAAGGAAATGGGCAAACCACTCCAGCAGCTTTGCCAAGAAAACAACAAATGGGGTCATGAAGAGTAGGTCTTGACTAAATAACAACAACAACTGAAGGAAGGACGGCTAGGTGGTGCATTGGATAGAACACCAAGCCTAGAGTCAGGAAGATCTGAGTTCAAATCTGACCATAGACACTTACTAGCTTCATGACCCTGGGCAAGTAACTTAACTCCTATTCGCCTCACTTCCTCAGCTGTAAAATGAGAACAAGATACTGGAGAAGGAAATGAGAAACCACTCCATGGACCATAAACCCCCATGGACAAAATCCATGGGGTCACGTAGAGTCAGACACAAGTGAATAACTGAACAACAACAACTGGAGGAAGAATTAGCAATATTTATATCCGCCCGCCCCTCCCCCAAAAAGGGAGCTGCTAATAGAGTTTTTTTTAAAGAGCAGAAGAGAACAGAAGAAAGTACAGACAAACAAGGGTTTGGAAAGTTACCTACCAAATTTATTACACACTGTAAAGAAAAGAAAGAAGGTTTGGATTTTTCTTTGCATTCTGCTACGTGTATGTGTGCTCTTTTTCGGTATTTATGTTTAAATATAAAACATTTTTAAAGAAATGAAACAAAAATTAATTTTATCAACAATAACAATAGCTGGTATTCATATGCATAGGTTCCCAAAGTGGGCGATACCACCCCTTGGGGGGCACTGGAACAATCCAGGGGGGTGGTAGTAGCCTCGCATGCAATTGGGAGGGCATTGAATAAAAAAAGGGGGGGGTTTGGAAGCATAAGGAAGGAAAAAAAGATTTTGAAAATTTGAAAATTTTGAAAAAACAATTCATACATGTTTCATCTGTTGTGTAATAGAGTCAAAGTCATAGTGATTACATTATTTTCCAAATAAACACATAAAATGCAAGTTATAACCAATCACTGGTCAAGTCCACTGACAGGTCTTAACAAGCAAATGTTGGCAGGCAAGTATGTTGTGCATTGTTGGGAAGTCCAACATGAGGTATATGTGTAATGACTTGTTTATGATACAATACTATACAGTCACATGATGAAATATTGCATTGTCAAAATTTCAATGCAGGAAAACCCCACAAATTTGCAAAAAATTATTAAATTTAAGATGTATCATTTTAAATATATATATATTTTTCTGAAATTATGCAAGTTTCAAAAAACCGTTAAAGGTTAAAGAAAGTAGATTTTCTGGGGAGCAGGGTTTAGTAGGGGGCAGTAGGCAAGATAAGTTTGGGAACTCCTGATACAGTGCTTTAAGGTATTCAAAGTGATTTACAAATATTGAGTCTTACAACAAACAGCCTCTAAGCACAAAATCTCAACATCATCTTTATGCTTCTTCACATCAAATTCAGGATACTGACAGTCTAGAAATCAAATCCTTTCCTTTTATTCATTTCTTCCCAGCTTCCTCTCACATTTCTTTTAAGGTACTGTTCCAAACATTTTCTGTTCTCTTCGTTTTCTACCCAGCTGAGGTTTCACCCTCCAAATAAGAACTGCAGAGAACATACATGAGAGGAGCTGCAACACTTAGTTTTAAATGTCTTTGGGCTCATTCATTCTGTTCACAACTGTCCCTTCTACTCTACCCTTCCATTCTCTACCTCTTGCTCCAAGGCAGAGATAGGAATTGGACCTATGACTTCAATGGTATAGGCAGAGAATTCCTGAATGAGAAAACTCACTTTACCAAAGCAGATAGGCCCCTTTTCTGCAGCTTAACAGACATTGCGCTGAATAATGACTTAGAAAACCACAAATTAACATTATCTAAGTGGGGTAACTAGGTGGCACAGTGGATAAGAGCATTGGGCCTGGAGTCAGAAAGACCAGACTTCAAATCTGACCTCAGATACTCGCTAGCTGTGTGACCCTGGGCAAGACACTTAACCCCTGCCAAGAGAGAACTGGAGAAGGAAATGGTAAAGCACTCCAGTATCTTTGCCATTGGATGTCCATTTCCCTATGGACAATTGGTCCGCAGGGTCAAAAAGAGTCATATGTGACTGAATGACAACGATGTTGCTGTATGTTTTTATTTATTTTGTTCAACATTTCTCAATTATATTTTAATCAGGCCGCATTTAACATCTCTGGCCTATATCACTAAGGTTTTAAGTGATTTCCCAGGGTCATACTGCCAATATGCGTAAGAAGTGAGACTTTAGTTCTCTATCCACTATATCAATCTGTCTCTAAGAACTATAGTCAAATCAACCCTGCCATTGTGCCAAATCAATCCTTCACTCTTTATCCTTCAGTAATCATTAATTAGGTTATCTGTAATTCATGCCATTGGAAAGGGCATACCAGTGGACTGCTCTACATTTTCCCACACCATCTTTGTGTCTTCCCAGATCAAAACATCCTTGCCTATTCACCACTGCTCTATATGTATTAGGAAGACCTGAATTCAAATCTGAGACAATAGCTATATGATGCTTGGTAAGTCTGTCTAAGTTTCATTTGTAAAAAGGAGATAATAATCTTGCCAACCTCTCAGGGTTGTTGTGAGGACAAAATTAAATAATATTTGTAAAGCTCTGTTACATATAAATGGTGGCTATTATTAATTATTATTATCTTCATCTTTTAGAATGTAAGCTCTTTGAGGCTAGGGACTATTCTCTTTTGTGTTTGTATCATCATTACTTAGCATAAAGTTAAGTGCTTAATAAATGACTCTTCTTTCATTCATTCAATCTTTAGAGTAGCTCTTGGACTTGTCGTTCTGTATTGATACCCACCATAATCGCCTTCTTTCGGGCCTTCATTACCTCTTGCACAGACTACTGATCCTAACTGTTCTCTTGGCTTATAATTCTTTCCAACACCTTATATATAGCTGCCATCTCCACCTTCCTAAAAGTTTTATTCTAATAATTCCACTCCTTAATGCCTCTTAAACAAAAAAATCTTTCAGAGTCCCCATGGCTTTCCTAATGAAATCCAAACTCCCAAACCTTGGGTTCAAAGCCCTCTATAATCTGGCTAAAACCTAACTTTCCAAATCCATCCCCTCCTTCTCTGCTTCCCACACTTTACATTTAAGCTAAGCTGAACTACTTTCTGTGCCGGGGATATCATGTTCATTTTCTTGCCTACATCCCTTCAATCTCTTCTTCTTCACCCCCACTCTAGCTCAGCCTACCCAATCTTCATCAAATTGAGAACTAGAAAGGTTCCTTAGAAGCCACCCAACCCCAAATTCTCAATTTACAAAGCAAAAAATTGGGGCACAGCGATGAAGTGACTTGATGAAGGTTACACGTTATCAGTTACAATTTGAACAAGTCTTTTCACTCTAAACCTAGTTCTTTCTCCTCTCCCCTGCTGCTTCTCAGCCCAGCCAACTTGCCATCTTCCTGATGAAGCTTTTCCTGACCTCTAGATCTGAAGCACTCTCTATTATGCATATTCCTTGTATATTATAATACCTTGCAGTTCCTCTTCTGGAATGTAAGCTATTCAAAGACATATACTGTGCCTTATTTTACAGATGAGGAAACTGAGGCTGAGTAATGTGCCTGTGGGTCACACAGTTAGTATCTAAGAAGGGATTTAAATTCAGGTTTTCCTGGTTCAAAGTCCAACAATTCTTAACCTGTGTCACCTAGCTGCCATGAATAAATAAATTATTCATAAATGAAGAACTGATTACTGAAGGATAAGGAACAAAGGAGAGATTTACTCCCACCATCTGATTTTAGTCATTCTTTATGTAACATCATTAGTTGACTATGTTTTTTGCTTTGCATTTCCTTAAAATTTTAATGTTAACTGTGCTCCAAAACAGGTAAAATAACACAAGTTTTCTTGAAGACTTTTTGAAAAAAATGTTCAACCTAATTTCTAGCATTACTTAATTAAGTTCCCCATTCTCTCCAGTTCTAGAACCATTATCACATCAATACTGATGTGGAAAGATGTGTTAGTTAATCTACTTTCCCATGGTTCCACTCATCACCCTTGTAAGTTTTCATACCACAATACCCTTCCATGGCCATCACTCCCTTTTATATCCAGTCTTCCTCTATTAGCATATAAGCTTTTTGAGGACAGGGTGCTTCTTTAATTTTATATCTGTTTACCCAGAGCTTACATATAGTAAGTGCTTAATAAATACATTTTCATTCATTCATATCGCTTATTTTCACATAATCCACATTTCATTAATATCAAATAAAGTGAGTAATCTCATTTTGTACCTTGATGGGTATTGCTGAGGCTGCTTGGCTGCATAAGTTGGTACTGGAAACCTGTTTGCATAAACAGCCTAAGGAAATAAAAAGAATAAGTCAGTATCACTAAGTACTCATAAATAGCCTCTAAACATAGTCTAGTATTTCCTCTGAAGAAATCCAAAACATTTAACAACCTACATACAGAATGGCTGCTTTAAAATATGATATTTTGAAAAGTCTGCTTACAGAGCATGTCTTTACTATTAAATGAAAGATACTTAATTCTTATGACATCACAAACATTAATTATGATTTATTTTCCCTGATGTGTGTAAGATGTACTCAGGTGACGATGATGAGCCCTACAGAGAGTCTTAGTTAGAAAACAGATGTCAACAGGGAGCTTTCAGTCTAGGACATAAGGAAAGGGGATAGGGAAAGGGAATAAGCATTTATATAACACCTATTACGTGCAAGGCACTATGTTAAGTGCTTTACAAATATTATCTCATTGATAAAATGAAATACTATCTCATTAGAAGATAAAGTACCATCCCATATAGCCATAAAAAACAGTATTATATTTGAAAAGTAAGTACCAGAGAAGTTTAAAATGGTAAGTATGAGAAAAAAGTTCTTTCAGGCTTATAATTTTTTTTACACACAAAAAAAAACTTCAATCAAAATGGGTACACGATTTAGATATAAAGGCTGATACTATAAGCAAACTGAGAAAGCAAGGAATAGTTTACTTGTCAGACTTATGGAGAACAGAAGAATTTACAACCAAACAAGAGACAGACAACATTATGAAATGCAAAATGGATAATTTTGATTACATTAAATTGAAAAGTCTCTGATAAAGGCCTTACTTCTCAAATATTTAGAGAACTGAATCAAATTTATAAGAATGGGGCAACTAAGTGGCGCAGTAGATAGAACACCAGCTTGGAGTCAGGAGGACCCGAGTTCAAATCCAGCCTCAGACACATAACACTTACTAGCCTTGTGGCTCTGGGCAAGTCACTTAACCCCAATTGCCTCACCAAAAAATAAATAAATAAATTATAGGAATACAATTCATTCCCCAATGGAAAAATGGTCAAAGGATATGAACAGGCAGTTTTCGGATGGAGAAATTAAAACTATCTATAGTCATAGGAAAAAATGCTCTAAAGCACTACTGATTTAGAGAAATGCATATCAAAACAACTCTGAGGTATCACATCACACCTATCAGATGGGCTAATGTGACAAAACAGGACAATGATTAATGTTGGAGGAGATGTGGGAAAATTGGAACACTAATGCATTGTTGGTAGAGTTGTGAACTGATCCAACCATTCTGGGGAGCAATTTGGAACTATGCCCAAAGGGCTACAACCCAGTTCACTGTCCATCTGTATTGCCTGTGCAAGATATGATCGACTTGATGGATATGATACTGACGGACTAAGTGAACATCCCAACTAAATGCCATGATTTTAGCAATATGTACTCTTCCTCCACTGCTTTTCTTGAGTAAAGAATTTCTTTGGAGTAGCCAATGGGTCTCAGTGAAGAGGTCCTGTGATATACTGAAGCATAATGCAATCAATATTGTCTCATCTCCCAAAAAAAAATGACAACTGGAGGACCTTACTATATATAGGGAATACTGTTTTTATTTGGGCTCCACATGAGACATCTTCTGTGACAATACTGTAATCAGTTTTATACATTGCTTGATTCTGATAATCTATTTATTTGACCATTCCTTCTTAGTTTCCTCTGCTAAATCGTAATTGATATTCTGTTCCGTAAAAGTGGATGTTCCCCAAGGCTCTGTTCTAGACCCCAGGTTCTTCTCTCTATATATGCTGTCTCTCAAAGACATCATCAGCTTTCTTGGATTCAAATAACAACTCTGTGCATATGACTCTTAGGGGATCTATAAATACAGTCCCTACTCTGCCTTTTGGAATCTAGTTCAACTAATGACCAACCAGATATTCTGAACTGAATATCCCACAGGCATCTCAAGAAACATGGTAAAATAAACATGGTTCTGGAGTTAAAAACCCAGATTCAAATCCCACTTCTAACAGTTAATACCTATGACAACAGCAAAATCACTTAAACTGCCTGGGCCTTCGTTTCCTCAACTATAAAATGAAAGGATTGAGTAAGATTGCTTCGGAGGTCACTTCCAGCTTCACAACTATGATCCTACATTAAAATAGCTACAAAAGAAAACTAGTCTGCAGTTGGTGTGAAGGGTGGATTGCAGGAAGGAAACAGTAAAGACGGAAAAAGTCAGGAGGTAGCTAGCAATTGGGGCCTGCACTAGTGGTTATAAGGAAGGAAATAAAGATCACAACAGATTCAAGATATTACACGGAGGCCAACAATAAGACTTGTTAACTAACTGGACAGGAGGGGTGAGGAAGTGGGAAAAGACAAATACCAAAGTTTCGAACATGGGATACTGAGTGAACATCACTGACAGAAATAGTCAAGTTAAATACTAAGGCCAAGGTAGTAGGTGTCCCTTGAAGTAAAGTCTGAGTATCTCTGTGCCATGGGAGGCAAAAGGGTGCACAAAAGGGTAGCCTACCTACATTCTTACAGTGCTGATAATACCTTGAAGGGCTTGCTGCCTCAGTAGATCTACTTGTACCATAACTCTGAAAATCAAGGCAATGCCTCCACATTCACTGGAGAGCATACTCAAGTGGCATTTTAAAGCATGTATTTAGGAAATAGTCCCTGGCAGCATTTAACTTGCTTCAAAATGACAAAAAAGAACACTTTTGAAAGGTATTTTTAACTGTTACTTCTCACTATGCACAAAGTGTCGGAAACACTAAAACAGTAGGTCACCGTAATTTCACTCACTTGTTGAAACAAGTGTAAAGTAGGCTCTTAAAATAGATCCAGAAAACTCTTTCACAAGGGACAAGCTATTCTGGGTTAAAAGGATTACTTGATAGGAGTTTGGAGCAAGACAAAAAAAAAAAAAAAGGTAAAAATTTTATTCATAACTATAGTCTCACTGACAATTTCTTTTAAAGCTACAAAAATCACATAATTTCCCCCAGCCCACCTACTCTACAAGCTTCTTATCATATGTGTACTACATTAGTCATTCAGTTAAAAAAAAAAAACAACAAAAAACTCAAAGGTGATCTTTTACTTCTAACTGCACACTTAATTGCCACCTGGCCAAGACCTTAAAAATATGAATATTTATAACACAAAACAATTATGTTTTTAAAACCCAAATACTCACAACAAGAAATACGAAAACAAAAATTAAACTTACAGCATCTCTGGGGCTATTTACTGGAGGGGCATTTCGAGTGGCATTCACTGGTTGTCTAGTTACATTTGTTTGATTTTTTCCATCTGATCTGGAAAGACAGAATTATGTTTATAGTTAAATTAAAATGAAAACTTTTCTGTACTGACTCCTAACAAAAATACTTATGTGTGATATTTCCTTTAATATACTATTAGAGAAGGATGGCCAAACAATTGACAACAAATCATATTCTTTACCAAATGCTACACATTATAAGTACATTACTGTGTAAAATTATATCTTGTTCTGGTCCCCTTCACCACCTCCACCCCTTCTAGTCAGTGTAGTAAGTTTAAAGTAGCCAGTATAAAGTAACAATGGCAGGAAGGTAGAATGTGAAGAGGACAAGAATGCACAAGTCATTTTCAGACTGTCCCAAAGATCAAAGAAGCATAATTTGCAAACATCACATTCTGAGACTAGGAGCTAAGTTAAATCAAGAGAAGCCATCTAAGTCTTGCTGTCAGGGCCTTTTGGTCCCAGAAGATGTAAATTTCAGGTAAGTACCAGACACCTGCAGTTAAGACAAGCAGAATACCAAATACTTTGAGACAACGGGAATATGTTAATGAACCAACCCCAGGTTAGCCCAGATAAAATTTAAGTCTGCCTCCCACCAAAAGTTTATAAAAATGAGACCCCAAACACCTGCCTCCCCCCCCAAACACTTTTCCATTACCTATGGGTCCATGCTGCCCAAGGGCTTCCAATTCTAAGCCATGGTTATGTGAGTGATTCTCTGTGGCTCTCCCCCCATTACAGTTCTGTTCCCCACACTGCCTGCCTTCACTGCCCCATCTGTATCATCCCGTCATGATGTCTGCCTCTGCATCTCCTCACCTAGAAGTTCCATCACTTATAAGTATGATTGGTGCCATCATGGCCTTTCCCAGTGAATACCCAAAGAACTGGTGTGCCAGCCCCTATTTCATAATACCATGAGTTAATTAGCAACTCAATCACAATTGCCTTTCAAAGCACACAGTAAAAGGTCCATTTGTCTCATATTCCAAGATATATGCCAGATAGCAAATCTCTCCCCGCTTCTAACTGTTGAGAAAATTACCTCTTGAATGATATAGTATAATACTTTATAGAATATGAAAGGCACACTAATTCAATAACAAACATTTCAAGGAATGTGGAATGGTGAAAAAGTGCTACACTTGGAATTAGGGAAGATCTGGGTTCAATGACTAGCTCTAAAATTATAAGCCTATAAATATATATATATATATATATATTATAAATATATGACCCTTGTTAACAAATGTTACCTCTCTCAGCCTCAGTTCTTCATCTGTAAAATGGGGTTGATAATTGCATTTTATGGAGAAAGTGCTTTATAAACCTTAAAGCACTATATATTCTCTTTACATTAACTAGAATATGCTCTGTGTTTCTGTCTTTTCACTGTGCTCTTATCTTGTGGGATTACTCCCTTGCTCTTTAAGTCTTAATTTTTACTGTTAGATCTCTTATATTTTTCCTTATTTTGTTTAAAAAAATGAATTCTTATTCTGTCCCTAGCTTCTAAAATTGTACGTGTAATCCAAAAAACCGAAAAAATCTGTCACTGGTGGCAGAGGGAAAGGCTAAAGTTTATTCCTCAGCATGGTATAAACAAGAGTAACAACAAAACAAAAACAAAAACCTACAACCATTTTACTTGGCCAAGTAACAACCTAAACTTCTTGATAATCATCTAGAAAAAAACTCATAAAATTTTTATAGAATATTCATAGGAGGCAGACAGAACTCAAGATGGTGGAGTAGAAAGAAGCAGTATAGACTCGCTTTCTCCACAACTACTCCAACAAAATCTAAAGAGTAATCCAAACCAAGTTACAGATAAGAGACAATATCAGGAATTGTGTAACACAGGAGGACTGGAACTATGGATTCAGTGCCTCAGAGTCAGGCAAGAAACTCTGTCAGTTTGTCCAGAGAAGAATGCTAGAAAAAGGAGTAAATAAAAAAAGAAAGAACTATTATGATGCCAGGTATGCCCAAGACAAAAACTCAGAAAAGAATTTCAAAATATTTACAAACAAAGCCTCAAAGAAACACACAGCTTGCCCACAAGATCGTTAAGTATTTGTAGAAGAAATGATGTAAAAGTTTAGGAAAAAAAGTTTTTAAACAACATAAATGAAATGAGAGCAACAGAGGAAAGAAATGGAAAAATAAATGAGATCTATGGAGTAGACATAAAAAAGATAATTCATAGTTTAGCACAAGAAGTACAAAACTTTATATAAATAACATAGTCATTGAAAATTAGAATGAAGGGGCAGCTACCTGGCATAGTAGACAGAGCACTGGTCCTGGATTCAGGAGGACCTGAGTTCAAATCTGGCCTCAGACACATAACACTCACTAGCCGTGTGACTCTGGGCAAGTCACTTAACCCCAAGTGCCTCACAAAAGAAAAAACAATTTAGAATGATTCAATGAGACAGCACGAAATATTAAAACAAAGTTAAGAGTGGAAAAAAAATAAGAAAATGTAAGGTATCTCATATAAAAGAAACTGAATTAGAAAACAGGCCAAGGAGAGACAATCTAAGAATTATCAGACTTTCCTAAAACTGATCAGAAAAGAAACTTGGATACCATATTTCAGAAAATCATACACGAAATCTATCAATAATCTTAGAGTCAAAGGGCAAAGTGAAAATAGAAAGACTCTACTGGTCACCTCCTGAAAGAAACCTCAAAATAAAAACTACCAGGAACATCACCAGCAACATTCAGAGCTTCGTGGTAATACCTGATATACAAATGCAATGGAATACTACTGTGCAGTAAGAAATGATGAGCAGGCCAATTTCAAAAAAACTTGGACAGACTTACATGAACTGATGCAGAGTGAAATGAGCAGAACCAGGAGAACATCATACACAGTAACAGCCACATTATGGGATGACTGACTTTGATAGACTTGGCTCTTCACAGCAACACAAGAATCTAAGACAACTCCAAAAGATTCATGATGGAAATTGCTATCCACACCCAGAGAAATAAATATGGAGTCTGAATATAGACGGAAGCATACTATTTGCTCTCCTTTTCCTTTTTTGTTTTGTTTTATTGCTTCATTCTCGTGGTTCCTCCCATTAGTTCCAACTGTTCCTTACATCATGACTAATGGGAAAATATGCTTAACATGAAGGTTTATGTAGAGCCTACATTGGATTGCATGCCATCTCAGGGTGGGAAGTGGGGGGTGGGGGAGGGGAAGAATATGTGGAAGGGGGAGAAAATTTAAAACTCAAAATCTTTTTCTTTCTTTTCTTTTTCTTTTTTTAGGCAATTAGGGTTAAGTGACTTGGCCAGAGTCACACAGCTAGTGAATGTTATGTGTCTGAGGCTGGATTTGAACTCAGGTCCTCCTGACTTCAGGGCCAGTGCGCTATTCACTGTACCACCTAGCTGCCCCTAAAACTCAACATCTTATGAAGTGAATGTTGAAAACTAAAAATAAACAAATTAAATTTAAAAAAAAATTAAGAGCTCCTGGATTACATAAAAAATATCACAAGCAACCAGAATGGAAGAGTTCAAGGATCAAGGAACCATGGGCAGGACACCATGTAAGATTTAGTAGCTACCCCTATAAAGGAGCAGAAAGCATGGAAGAAGATATTCTAAAACACAAAAGATACAGGCTTATAACTAAGAACAATTTACCCAGCAAAAATGAGCATAATTCTACAGTAGGAAAATGGACTTTAATGAAATAGAAGGATTCATGATGAAAAGGCTATAGCTGTGTAAAAACTCTGAAATTCAAACATGGGAGTATAGAGAAACACAAAAATGTAAATATAAGATAGCAGCTAGGAAATGACATTATAAGGTTGAGATACTTGCATTCTAATGAAGGAGAAGGATAATTCAAGTACTCCCTAAGAGCCATAATGTTATCAGAGGTCACAGAGAGCTAAATAAGACAGGGTCTGAGAGTGATTTTTGTTGTTTTAATGATTTTAAAAATAAAGGGAAAGGAAAAAAAGAGAGACTCAAATAAAGGATAGAATAAGAGAATATTTTTTAAAGAAAACCAGGGAAGAAAAAGGAAGGAATGGAAGGGGATTATCTCAAATAACCAGGGGTACAAGTACCCAAAAATACTAACAAAGGAGTGGGGGGTTGGGCATCACACAAACCTCACTTTCATCTGAATTGATTAAAGTAGAACACAATCAAGTACACACACACAAAGGAAACAGAGAGAAGCAAAAGGAGAAAATTAAAGGGAAGGTAAAATAAGGGAGAAATAAGTCACAGGTATAACAAATTCTAAACTCAGAGGGTAGACAGTGAAAAAGGGTCTAAAAGGAAAGAAATGAAAGGTAAGAACCTGTGACTGGTATCTGGGTAGGGGAAAAGGAGAAGCTAAGGGCTGCTGAAGCTGTCTGCATTAAGCAGACAGCACTGGTGCTGAGCAGAGTCCTGTTCTACACCTATGCTTTGTGAAAAGAAAGGATAGAGAGCAAGGTGAAGAAGACATGTAAGAAAACAGGGTGGAAAGAAATGCATAAAATTAAAGCTTTTGCACAAACAAATCTAATATAGCTAAGATTAGAAGGGAGACAGTTAACTTGGAAAAAAATTTTTGTAGCAAGTTTTTCTGATAAAGATCTCATTTCCAACATAAGAAATTGACTGAAATTTATTTCAATTTATAAGAAAAAGAATAATTCTCCAATTAATAAATGATCAAAGGATATGAATAGTCAGTTCTCAAGGGAAGAAAGTCAAACTCTCGAGTCATGAAAAAATGCTCTACAATGCTTATAATTTAAGAAATGCACATTAAATTAATTCTGAGGTGCCACCCCATAACATTTTCTCAGGAAAATGACAAATGTTAGAGAAGCTCCAGAAAAACAGGCACACTGATGCACTGTTTGGAGCTATAAATTGGTTGAACCACTCCAGAAAGCACTTTGGAACCATATGTAAAAAGATATTCAATTGTGCATACCTTTGACCTAGCAATACCATTACTAAGCTTAAACCCCAGGAGTTCAAAGACAGGAA